ATAAAAACAAAAGTAGGTTAGTGGCGCCACCTCGCGTTATAAAAGAGAACGGAAGTAATCTCCCACAATTCCTAGCGGCGTCCATGACTTTTTTGAGGGAAGTGATCTGGGTGATGCGGCTGTCTGCGACTCGTGATCCTCGGCTGGATTAATCGACAGACTTCGTTCAATTTTTTTCCCGTGGATGATGCGCACCTCGAAGGTCTCCCTGCGTCTCTGAGAAACCGCCACCGTTGGAGCGAAACACACCCGGGGGTAAGGCGGGTAGCTCTCTTATCTAGCTTTCACGCCAGGCGCGGCGGCGGTCGTGATTCCGCACTTGCGCGGGCAAAAGAGAGCCGTTTCTTCGCCCATTTCACCTCAAACCTCGGCACGCTCTCAAAAAAACAAGCGGCTCGTTCCTTTCTCTTTGTGACGGGGCGTTGCGGGTGTCCGACTCAATACCATTCGACGTTCCCCGGGCTCAAACTTTGGGCGTACCCCTCCATAGGCGTACGTACCGTACCGCGGCTTTCGTTGTGGAATCGCTAGGTCGGTCCGTTTTTGCCCGACATTCGCGCAGTTTTGACATTAGACGCTGCAAATGCGGAAATGACCCAAGCTCGTCTCGAAAAGCAAAAAACGAAAAAAAAGCTAAAGCGTGCAGTCTGGTCCACGAAGGACTTCGTGATATTTTCTTTCTATTTTCTTCCTTCACGGCGTTACTCGGCGAGTTGACAGATATATCACGCGGTTCAATGAGGCCGAAGGCCTCATTGAACCGCGTGATATATCGTTGAACCGCTCGCTCATCGGGGCGGAAGCGCCTGTTGGTTGTCGCGAATTTCCACTGCATATCTTATTGGCGGTTATGTCTGGCAGGCGTGAGACGAAGAGACAGCACAGACGATTTCCCCCGCTCGCTCATCGGGGCGGAAGCGCCTGTTGGTTGTCGCGAATTTCCACTGCATATCTTATTGGCGGTTATGTCTGGCAGGCGTGAGACGAAGAGACAGCACAGATTTCGTGCCTAGATTGCTGCCGGCGAACGCGCTACTACTGCAACATCAGTGTATTCTGCGTAGAATCAAACGGCGCACTTGTGAAATCTTACGCCGCTAGCAGAAACACAAGAAGTTTTGTGTGCGTCGAATACTTCCTTTTGGGGCAGACTCGGGTGTTTCCAGGTGTCCGAGGGATTAGAGTTTATCGCCCCTCGAAAGAGTGAGACGCTCCAGCCGTGATAAGCGACTTCCAGGCTTCAACCCACCGCAATACGAGTACTTTGAGCATACCTACTCACATTCATTCTAGCCTGATGCATAAACAGGGGTGCAATTTGAATCGGAAAGCTGCAGCTTGTTAAGCCAAGTCTCCACAAAGTTTTCTTGTAAGTTTTACACGTCAGAGTGGTGTCGAGCATACTGTTAGGCTCATCAGCACGCGTTTAAGCATTTTCTGCCTGTCGACTCGCTAATACCTAAAAATTTAGTTTGCTGTAGCACTAATGTTGAGATAAAACTCAAGCTGAAGAATTGTTTCCTTGTTGATTACAAAACAAGCAGCCCGCACTCAGTTATTTTAGATGTATTCAAGCGAACGACTTGTGCGCGTTACTGGGGAAATAAGAAATGTCATGTATCTTGTCGAAGTGGACTTTTTTCAGGAGATTAGTCTTTGATCGGCCACCTGGCCAGCAAGTACATTGTATACCAACTGATTATCGCGAGGGGTGGCTTTATTTTGGCCGCCCCTGTGCTAAAGAATATGAAGGCGGGTCCTTCTATTCGTAGTGTAAGGCTACATATGCGTGACAAATCAGAGGGGAAGTTTGCAAGCATGTTATACCTCGTGGTTGCCTGCTTGCTGTCTGTGACTGCATCGGGCTTGCCGACTCCATAACAATGCTGCCTTGAGAGTCTCCACGCAGAAAAACCCTAGTCTATATTGTATTAAAATGAATGATCTGCCAAGCATAAAGGTTAGTAAAAGGCCCACCAATATGCTTGGGAAGTTTAATTGAACTTTGTTTCGCCTTGCTCTCGAATGCAGGAGCTCAAATCGTGATTCTCCCAGCCTACTTGTCATTATTGGGCACTAAAACCGTCATCTTGTCATTGAAAACGGCTTCTTGCAATTTACTTTACATTTTGTCTAGAGCTTTCGGGGACATTGTTTGAAGGTCTTTCTATCTCCATATGCTAAGCGTTGAATGTCAAATTTGGTGAGTGGGTCTTGCATATCAACTGCTTCCGGTCCATTCTCACATGTTTTCTAATGCCTTTCAGGCAGCTAAGGTTTTGAGGATTCACCTTGTGCGTCCGGAGACTGCTTGTAACGTAGGCTACCAGACTAGCCGCTCAATGAGTGCTCGGAAGGGATTGAGACATTGTATCCAATTGTCACATTTGTTGTTCGACATCAAGTGTGTAATTTTTAACATGCCGCTGCAGTTTTTTTGTAAGAACTTAACAGACAGCTTCACCTAGAGAAAGTAAGTCCAGAGAGAAAATCGTCCGTAAGCTTCGTTACGGGGTGGCATTTCATCGAGTGCAAACTGAAGTCTCTCATTATGGTTGCAAGGCCTCATTGCCTTCAGAGGCTAAAAGGCACTAAGTTCTCAAACAGGAATTTTCTTCAGCATATTATACTACTTTTTTTTTTTTATGGCAGGTAAATTGCTCCTCATTTTCTTCGTGTTATTTGCTTGTGTAGCTTGCAGTGTAAAGTGCTCGCTATATACAATGAGTAATTTACCTTCACAACTCCGCCGATGTGCCTCGAAAGTATTGGGATATGCTTTTATCCTGTAAAACCTTCTGTGGCGCATTCTTGTAACGAAACAGTCTCTAATTCCCTAAAAGTTTTCACCATGCTTTCAAAATGAATTTGGCTATTCATTGAAAGCTGGGCGCTTTCAGCATGTCTTCTTGAGGTTCTCATTGCCTCTTGCATCGTATTAAACTGACAACCTCTGAATGGATTTTGTGTGATTTAAGCATATACATTTTGTGCAAAGTCCGGTCACTTTGAGTGCTTACGACTAATAAATAGAGCTAAAACAATATTGGGATGACCATGCTTTTAGAATACCTTGTACTATAATACATCAACAACCAAAGTTTGGTAGACAGTGCTGAATAGAACACACATTATGGGTTCTACCAACTCGACCTGGGCCGGCTTACTAGAAGCAGCGCCTTGAATGAGACTGTCTTATCTTAGACGAAGGAAGCACTGCCAAGCCTGGGGCGCGCCAGCGTTTGAGACGCGACTTCACGTGCCACTCCGCTCGTGCGTTAGCTTTAGCAGCGCTTTTTTCGTCTCAGATAAGGCAGTCTTATTTGAGACGCTGGTTCTAGCAAGCCAGCCCTGGATATGTTTGGTGTTGTAAATCTTAGTTAAAGAAAATAAAAATTGTTGAGGGCTCTCTTATTTTTTGGCATTAACTGAGTTAGTCTGCACCATCAGGCCAAAATCGTTCCTTTTTCATTTTTAGTGGATGGAGTTTTTTTGTCTTGCTGAGCATTATTCGCTAAATTGAACTGAAAACTGTTGTGAGGATCTATTTCAGTAGGTGCCCAACCTGGTGGGGGAGTGTTTGTTTGTTCAAGCTATTTCAAAAGACCGCGGTGGCTAGAAGGTCACTACTCTCCTTTGAGTGGGCCCAAAACGTGGTGTAGGGGCTGGCGAGACTGATCTGTGATGATGCCCTTCTGTTGCGGTCTGTGCACGTTAAATACATCCAAGTTCAAGCTGATTTGTTCATCTCATACTGTGTCAATCATCTCATTCCGTGTGGATCACCTCATCCCGTATGGTTCGTCAGCATAAAGTTGGAGTACCAAGCTCATTAGCAAGAGTATTTCACTCATCTTTCTTCCTCGCACAGTATATAAATGGGACAATTTCCCCAAACTGGATTGCTGCTATCGCTCATCCTAACCTGTTTCGAAATTCTGTCTCTGTTTTTGTAATAATCCATGAACTGTTTGAATATTTGTTTCTCATATGATTATTGTTTATTTGTTATGGTTTTACTACCCGTTTTTGTATCTGCTCTCCCCTTCTATAATGCCCTCGAGCTCTGAAGGTATTTCAGTAAATAAAGAAATAAACGAGGGTGTCCCTTAGAATCTTTATTGATTATCATTTGCTCTAATGTAAGCGAGACACTTGTGCAGAATAAAAATATAGATCATCGTGCAGATACAATGATCCTTGCACTTCATAGATACAATGATTTTTACACTTCATATGCTGCTTCAATTTGGCAATATATCCCCAGATAAGATGATATTTACAAAAATTTGTGTTATCCACAAAGGTAGTGCATATGAAAATCTCAGTAACTGTAGACCTATATCTTTATTGCCCCCTTTTTCAAAAGTCGCAGAGAAAATAATCAAGTGAAGACTTTAAGGGGATACTACAACGAAATTTCGGCACTCATTTTTGGGTCTATATGTGTTCAAAGGAGCAGTATCACATCGAACATACTAATATTTTGTTAAAAAAATCTCGAAAAGGAATTTTAAAACGAATTAAACGATTAGCAAAGAGCACCTGGTGGATGTCGCTAACGTCTCGCTTGTAATGCCCGTCTAGGAACCTTGACGGCTAGTGACGGAGGTTGTCTCTGCTCCGGCCACGACGAGAGAAGAGGGGAAGGAGGAACTCCCCTCTTCTTGAGAATGCCTTTTGTGTGTCGCAGAAGTCGCTATTGTCCCCCTACAAGATTATAAAAGATTAACCTGTCGCTCAAAATTCGTACAAAAGCAGCCGCTCCGGTGGCTGGAACGACTAGGCCATCCTCTCGACGTCAGCCTCGCCGTAGCTTTGCTTGTCCCGAGACGACCTACGTCACGATTGCGTTGGATGTCACGTGGTCTCTGCTGGGCCTTCTCCGAGCGCTTGCCAGAGTGGGCCGTTTATAACGAAAAATACAGCCACCAGGCTCAAAATACAAACGTGCGATTGTCATTTACGGATATTGTGGATCATATTCAAACTATTTTTGAACACGACTGGATTATTTCAAATTTCGTTGAAGTATCCCTTTAATCATATCGACAATTGATAAGTCGTAACCGAGCACCAGCTTGGTTTTCAGAAAAATAAATCAACAGAGCCAACCTTGATGCACATTGCAGATAAAATAGAGAACATTGAAAACCATACATACACAGTTTGTATCTTTTTAGATTTTAGAAAGGCATTTGACTGTCAAGCAGGGGCAATGCACTAGAAATAATTCATAGCCATTTGTTTTTACGGTTCCAGTATACAGTTACATATATTTAATTTGCAACTCTCACCAATAATATATGGTGTTCCAGAAGGTTCTGTACCTCTCCTTTTGTGCAAACTTTAAATGAAAAAAATATTATTTTATATGCTGACTATAGAAATATATATATTTTTTTTTTTTTTTTCTGGTAAGGACCTAGTTTATCGGAAACATGTATCAGTTATCTGGCTCAGAGATTTATTTCTGAATAAAATACTATCAACTTCATCTAAACACTAGAAAAACAAAATTTGTTCTGTTTAAGTAAAAAAATAAACATACCTTGTATGACCTAAATATCTATTTTGAAGGATAAAAAAATTTAGCATGTTAAAACAAGTTTCTTGGTGTGTGTGTGTGTGTGTGTGTGTGTTTTTTATGGAACTCTTAGCTGGGCTTTACATATTGAGAAACTAAGACACTCCATATCTAGAGCAATAAATATTTAAACAAGTTAAATCATTTATTACCGAAGTGGTTAAAGTTACAACTATACCATTCACTTATCTATTTATGCCTACGTATTGTTTAGTGGTATGGGGGGCAACAATACAAACTAATTCAAACAAGTTATTTATCTTACAAAAGAAAGCCATTCAATTTATTGGAAACCTTACAAGGTATCAGGACTCAATGTCAATCTTTCAACAGTAGAAAATATGAACTATTTAGCAAACCATAACCCGTAAGTTATCAGTCATTATTTTTAAAGAAATCTGGCAGAATCGATCACTTTTCTTAAACTACTCTCATAAAACACCAGGGGACTACAATTTAAGGTGCAGTTACTATGTAAAAAGCAAAGTTTCTACAAACTATGGTTTGCCACAACTTACATATCTCCTTCCTGACATACTAAAAAATAGTTGAATTGGCTCGCACTATTAGCTTGTTTGAGAGATTAAAAAAGAAAACAGTTAGAAATATATTACCATTGTCTCATGATCTGCAGTTGGTACCCCAACTTGTTAGTCTATATGCATTATTCAAAATGTGTCAAATGTCCTGCTGATGTTCATGAGCGTTTTTTTTTTTTCCCTTTCTTTTTTTTTGCGAGTGCTATATCCAGGTGGTAGGGCCCAATCAGAAGGCAATTTCATCTTCTCTTGCCCTAGCTCCTCAGACATTTTTCCATCTGAAAGTAAAGAATTCATCATTCATAAGCCAAAATGATGGGACAGTCTATATCTTTCTTGTTTAATGTAGTGCTCACGGTAGCAATTTTCTGCAGTCGTGTCTGGCAACATAAAGCATCAAGGCTCCCTTGATTCTATGTCCGAGTGAAGCATGGGTTAATGACCCCAGATAAAATAAACAAGAAAGATAGTAAGAGCTGGTAGGAGGCAATTCGAAATCAATTCCTTGGAAGCGGCAGCTGGTATTTCATGACTGGCTTAACTCTGTTGGGAACCTGTTCTACGCCCCACACTAACATGTGCAGTGCTGTGTTCTAAAATGATGCAAGAAATAGTTTGCAGACACCTAAACTTAAGTGTCAAAGGTGGGACGAACCTTGCTCAGCAATCTTTGGATACGGCTGTAGGCTCCTTCAAGCTGGACAGTTTGAGTCCCCTGTTTTTCAGACCACACTTTTCTATATTGTTTGTCACGAGGTGCTTAGCAGGATTCAGCCGGTATCCATTTCATGCCCCCCCAATGACAAATTGGATCCTCAACTTTTTTTTTTTACTCTTTCTGACCTAGAACCTGGCCCTTCATTGACACGCATGCAGCTTATGTATACAGGTTAGACAGCTCTGATGTGGACTTTTCCACTATTAATATTGAGAAGTTCCAAGGCTTTCGCGTCATGTATGGCTGGCAGCCCCCCAAGGCCTGCCAGCCATTTTAGGGCACAGTAAACATGAACTGATTAATCCATTGATTATTCGTAACAAGAGTGCTATCAAGCGACTTGGCTCATTTCAATTAGCTGGCCATGAAAATGCCAGGGTTTACGTTAATGGTGCCCCGAGTCTCGCGAGAATGCGAAAAGACCGAGGACTTCCAAGTAATGAACGCCGCATTTTTGCGTGTGTGCAGGGAAGCTGGCCCGTGACTGCCCAGCACCATGTCCAAGCCAAAGAATGCCCAGCCTGCGTTGCACAAGGTCATCATGGTGGGGAGTGGAGGCGTCGGAAAGTCGGCCCTCACTTTGCAGTTTATGTACGACGAGGTGAGTACTCCGGATTCGGGTCCGGACTCCAGATCCGGCTCCAGATTTTGCTCCGGAGTCGCCTCTGGAATTTGAGTACTGGCCAACCGTGGCCCACAACCGCGAATGTGTGATAGCCTTAGGGTGAAGTCTGAGCAGAAATAGACTGTCTTCAAAACGCCATTCAGCAGCATGGGTGGTCGCCATCTCTTGGGCATGAGGGACGTTATTGGATCAGAGTCTACGCCAACGCTGTTCTCTGTGCGAGCCAAGCAGAGTTCACACTGAATGCTGAAAAGCCCTTGTGTCCAGTACATGCTCGAAATGTATGCCTAAACAGTAGCGTACTCGGATGATTGTCAAAGTAGCGTCTAGATGGCTCACACTTTTGAAAAGGGTCTATTGAATGAAGGGTTGTGCTGGGATGCGACTGCAGCAAAACTTCCCATCTAGAACACTGATGCTGTTTAGAGTCACTCTCCATAGCAGCTTTGGCCATGAGAGTAATGGCACTAGGCAAAGGTACTACTTCGAGCAAAACGGAATGTGGATGCACAATCCAAGAAGCAGTGATATCTTCATTTTGCCCTTGAGACTCAATGTGAGTGGCAGCTATTTTATAATAATATATATAATTATACTGATCTTTATTTCGTTTCATATTTTAAACTGGGGGAAAGGGAAAAAAAACACTGCATCATAGCTTGTCGGATGTTTTAAGTTTCCCCTACAGATGATTCCAAAACACAAAAAGAGAAACAATTAGGACAACAATGAAGAAAAACCAGCACGTCACTCTGGCGGGAACAAATTTTGCATGACACAAATATTCGCGGCGCAGCAATATGAGTGCTGTAAAGACAAACAATCCCTACCTAATCGCAAAACATAAAAATGTACGTACCTCCGCCGGCGTCATTGCATCAGTGTCCACATTCTTTCTGAATAAATAATTTAATATAGCGGTTAATTGATGGTTTTATTGTCTGTACGGCGTATGCAAGTTTGATTGCCCCATTCACTCGAGCATGTTTATTTGAGCTTTGGGGCATGATCTGGTACAACAAATATATGCAGCGTATATTTTCTCCTCGACAAAATGCACAGCTTCCATTGCACATTCTTTGCTCAATAAAATAGACAAATTCCAGCATATTTTATTTCTCATTGCTGGTAGCACCTTTCTTAGTGCCCATAAGCAGCAATCGGTGCTGGCTATGTTTTCCTTCGGTGCGACAGTAATTTGATTGTTACAATTCTCAAACATCGCATACCGCCGCACATTAAAAGCTGGTTCGCACACCCGCGGCTGTTTACGATTGGGTGCGTCACTACCTCTCGAGACATCTTCCAACCAGAGAAGAGACCGGCATGCTGGCGCCACCTATGGGGTGGCCCTTGAACTACATTTCACAAGAGGAAAGGTTTTGCTGTATTTGCGAGATCAGATGTATGTACTATCAATGAGAGACGGTTGTTGATAACATTCTCGAAAAGTTTACTAAACCAATAGTGAAAGGATGAAGCGCAGAAATAAAATGGGAATCGCGAGTGTCCCAGGGCCACCCGACAGATAGTGCCGGCGCGCTCAGAGATCACAAGAGGTCGTAACGCATTAGGTCATAAGCAGTCGCAGGCATGTGAACTAGCCTGAAGCCGATCGATCGGTCCCGAGTTCAGGCGGGGAGGTTTCGTTTGGTCGTCGTCTTCGGAGAAACGAGACGCTCATGCGGACGTTTGCACACCGCGCTCGCAGTTTGTGGAAGACTACGAGCCGACCAAGGCCGACTCCTACCGCAAGAAGGTGATCCTGGATGGGGAAGAGGTTCAGATCGACATCCTGGACACAGCAGGGCAGGAGGACTACGCCGCCATCCGGGACAACTACTTCCGGTCGGGCGAGGGCTTCCTCTGCGTCTTCAGCATCGAGGAGCCCGAGAACTTTGCCGCCACCACCGAGTTCAGGTGGGCGGTCGGGGACACACTGACCAGAACTGTGCTACAGTGTCTGGGACACGTCCTTGACCGGTGGGGTTACCGTCCCGCCCGTGCATCGAAGCTAGTCTCGAAGTGGCAACGAATTGCCAAATTTTCTGGCCTATGAGTGGCACTTTTGTATAGAAGTCCAGCCCCCTGTAAAAGGCTGTTTTTAGAAAATACAAGGAGCATTTCTGCACGAGTCGTGCCTATGTATTAGTACATTCGGTGCGGCAAAACTGCATTAAAAAGCCCGCCTATGTGTGTCCCGATTGAAGCGTGCTTGTAGGCGAGAGAAAGGTTCGATATTCTTGTCGGTGAATTGCACGAGGGATGTAACCCCCGTGACAAATTTCCGCAGTTAGTTAAAGGGAAGCTGAAGAGGTGAGTGAGGTGAATTCTAATGTATTCTTGTCTCTTGAATTTGAATGTCAAAAGCATTTGACCCAAATCTATCGATAGACTCAAAAAGGAAAAAAAGACAAAAAAAAAAAAGACAGATTGCGGCTGTTTGATCAAAACCGAAACCATACCACTCCGTTCCGTGGCCAACTGGTTCCCAGTGTGCCACACATGCACTATTGCATGGGGGGATTTTTGAAAGTGGCTTATTGCAGAAAACAGATGCGACTTATACGATAGAAAATAGGGTACTTCGCAACGGCGCCCCTTGCATCTGCTCACTTTTTTCTTTGCCACTTCTACAACCGACCATCAGGGTCACGGCATCTGACGGCGTGACATGCTGGCTTGTGTGACTTGCTTGTTGCTGCTCTGGGACAACCCCGGATGCATGGTGTTAGGTTACGCCGAACACACCCAGCGAAAGTGTGCATTGCAGCGTCATCCAAAGCATGAACACAAACGAGCATGTTAAGTTTATACGAGCACATTCTCGACGGAAGCATTTGGTAATGTTGTGCATTTATGTCCGTGCGACCCGAAACATTGCGCAGAAATCTCGAGGCATAAGAGTTTTGGTGCGGCTTTTTGGTGCCTCGATTGACGGACCACTTGTGGAGAGCAATGGCTGTGCTGGAGTGACAGGTTCAGTGCTCTGTGAAACAAACAAAAACTGATGCTCGTTTTGCTGTAGATACCGGCTGGGTTATTACTGGCACTGTGTCACTGCTGCGGGAGGAGCTAAGAAATCCCGGCAAACAGACGATTGAGGTCAGGGAAGGTCAGTGGTTCATTTTCGGTGATTCGAAATGAAAGGATGCCCGAATCCATTTGAATTCTTGGATGTTTTAGGGTTTCTATAAAAGATGGTTCTACAGAGGAATGCGCTTCATGCCACCACTTCATACTCGCTGCTCTACAGGGTTAGACGGGTCCAAGGTGCAACACATTTGCTGTCTTCAATATATTTGCCGTGGTGTCGGACTCTACAGTGTTCTGTACTTCGTAATTATTGTAGCAAATGCTGCTTCGGTAAATTAACTTCTAAGACATTATGTTTGTGGTCAGTTGCTCTGTACTGCGTATAATTTTGAGCTTGATGTGGAATGGAAGTACTGGAGTCTACTGAGCAGTACTGACTTCACCGAAAAGCTTTTCTTGTGCTTCGTTCGAAGGTTTAGCGAGACCTAGCCATTGTAAGTTTTAGTCTGCTTGTATTAAACCACCAAGTTAACAGATGCTGCACACAATGTTAAACCCCGACACTGGGGCAAAGACGGGTCAAACAGAAAGAGGTCTGAAAATAAAGTGGATAGACGACATTTCAATGCTGTCTGTCCACTTTTTTCTGTCCTTCTGATTTATCTATATTTGCCCCAGTCATGTTCAAGATACACCAGTTCAAATGCACTCTAAGCATTTTTTTGTCTGCAGACACCCTTGGCAGAACTTTGGTGCATGTTTAAACGGGCCTCATCGCAACTCCGTATGTAGCCCGTTTTAGAGATGATGTTTAAAGCAGGTGACGCAGTCACATTTTCTTTTTAATTGGCTAGACAAACTAAAGAAATTTCGTGACTGCCTGGAGCTGAGCCGGTTGGTATGACATGATTTCTGAAGGTTTCCAGCTGAACGTAGAAGTAAAAACCAAGGAGTGGAGAAAAAGAAACTTTTGGCCAATTACAGCCCTCATTTTGTATTTTAACCGTCAGGTGGTGGAGGTCAAGAGAAACAGTTTATTTCCTTTATTTTTTAACTCTCACTTAGAAATTGAGTCACATTTGCCAACTTTGTTTGAGTTGGCCTGCATCAATGTCGACAGCTTCGAGGGAAAATTGGATCCCCATTCGGCGGATTCGAACCTTGGCCAAGGTAACTAATCCGAGGCTTGCTGTCGAGATTCTGGTTGCATACGAAAGGATCCTCGGTGTCTCGTTGTCAGCCCAACACATAAGATGGCCTTCTGTTCGTTCCTGGGCCAACAGGGAGCAGACCCTGTTGGTGAAGGGTGACGACCTGGTCCCATTAGATCTTCTGATGGTACAGGAGTGGTTACTCAGTTCTTTGTAGAGGCATGCCAAATGACCGCTTGGAACCCCTTGGACGCAGGGAGCAGATCCTGCGGGTGAAGGGTGACGAACAGATCCCCTTCATCCTGGTGGGCAATAAGGCGGACATGGAGGACAGCCGCAAGGTGTCCCTCGAGGAGGCCCAGGAGAGGGCCCGGCTCTGGGGGGTGCCCTACGTGGAGACCTCGGCCAAGCACCGCACCAACGTTGACAAGGTGGGGGCCTGCCTCGGAGTTCCCGTCAGCAGCTAGGCTATGTGGCACAAGTTACCACCCTGTACAAGGGGTAGAACCACTACCGTTCGTCCATCCAGCTTGGAGTTCATAACCGTAATCCAATCCAAGAAGCTCAGATTCCAACATAACATAGTTCAGAACCATTTTTCAAAAGCTTTGGTGCTTAGATTTCATAACCATAATTCAATCCAGTGCAAAAAGCTTAAGTTTCATAACTAAAATCCAGTTCAATCGAAAATGCTTGGATTCCAACATCAGAAAGTGCTTGGATTTCAAAACCATGTTCCGATCCACTCCCGTAGTGCTTGGATTTCATGACTGCAATCCAATCCAATGCAAAAGGCTAAAGGTCCATGCGCGCATTCACGTTTGAACGCGTTTGAGTGTGTTGCGGAGTCCTTGCGGCCAGGAGCGGTCGCTTGCGGTGTGATGCGCGCCTTCCCGCAATGCTCCGTAGCGCGACGTAAGCGAGTAGAGACTCTCTCAACTTTCCGAAGCGTTGCGGTGCGTTCGACCAATGAGAAGCCGAGAGAGGAGAGGAGGGTGACGTGTCCGCTCGCGCCACTCGGCCGACTCGGCGAGGCATATCTGGTTTCCCGCTCGCAGAATTGCTTTTTCGTTTTGGGGAGAGGTGGGGAGCGTATTTTCCAAGGCTGCGGTGGTTCAAGCTTGACAAAACGTCGGGGAAGCCAGAGGGATTGTCCCAAGATCGAACACTTCGACGCTGTTGCTGTGCGCCGCGATGTTGCCTTGGATTTCGCTTACTATTGGTGAGCTGCTAGCGACGATAGCGCATTCTTATTGGCTCTTGACTGCGGTTGACTGCATGTCAGCGCAACTGTGCGTACAAGTTTGGCGCAAGCGCTCTTCAGCAACGCAACGCGTCCGCTTGCCGCTACAGAATGCACCGCGCTCAAATGCGAATGTGCATATGGGCCTTTAGATTTCATTTGAATATTTTAATCCAATCTCAAAGCTTGGATGTTATCATCATGTAGTGCTTAGATTTCAAAACTATACTTTGTTCCTGTCCTGTAGTGCTTGATTTTCATAACCATATGCCAATCCAGTTCAAAAAAAAACTTTGATTTTGTACCTGGAGTCTAACATTATTCGGTCAATTCAGTTGTGGAACTCCTGCAGGGGATAGCCTCTTCTCCTCTTCAAGCTTGCCACCCACAGCCGTGTATTGGGAGAGTTTGGCCATACATTGGTTTCAATAGGCGAGCATCTCGGGGCCAACCACAGGACGCGATATAGCCCCTAGCGGTGATCATGAGCTCTAAAACGCGACTCGACTAATTTCAGCCGTTTTAGCGTCGCTCGAGCAAAAAGGTATAACTCTTGGTGACTGAAAAGTTGGCGCATGTGAGGTTTTCGTCACGCCCATATCCAAGGGTAGGATTAATGAACGTGCACTCCAAACCAGGGCTTACTTGCTAGAAACAGCGTCTCAGCTGAGACGGGGAAAAAAAGCACTGGCTAAAGGCTAGCGCGCGGGCCCAGCGGGACTCCGCGTCTCGAGACGCTCGTGCGCCCCACTCTTTGCACCGTTTTCTTTCAGCCAGTCTCAGCTGAGACGCTGTTCTAGCAAGCCGGCCCAGAGCAAACCGTCACCGAGAGGCCGAGATTGAACGCCTCTATTTTACGCTTGAAATGTTGTTTCCAATATTGTGATGTCGTGGTTTGCTGATTGGTCAACGTTGTGTCAGACCATTAGTTTACGCTCTAACCACGGGGGGAGTATTCGGCGCTGGTGGCGACCTTTGCTCTGCCCATTGGCCAAACTCTCCTAATATGCGACTCTGGCCACCCATCTTTTGAAGTGGCTGCATTTCAAAACTTTATTTTTTAAAGACTTTACGGTAAAGCGCCACCCATGTACTGTGCTTCGAAACCTGTAACTGTAGTTATCATAGCAATTGTCCCCCCAGGAAACGGTGGTGCGCCAAACGACGAGAGGCGGACCTTGGGGGGAGAGGGGGTGTTCTCCTTGTGGAACAGCGTCTAAGTGCAATAGGTGAGCGGCGTTTGGCGACTTCTGGTTCATTAGGAAATTTTGTTTAGCTGCTGACAAAACGACGACAATGATCTACAAGCCTGTCTAAACTTGGTTCTGAAAACTTTGCTCTGGAAGTTTCTGAGTTATGCTTGCACAGGCTTGCAGCTCATTGTCATCGTTTGTCAACAGTGGAAAAAAATTTCCAAAGGAACTGGGAGTTGCCAAACTCCGCTCACCTGCTCCCTAACTGAGTTGATCTAATAATAATGTTGCTATAATCCAATTCAATTGGCTTGGGTTTCAACATAACATAGTGCTTGAATTTTATGATCCGATTCAATCCAAAATGCTTAGATTCCAGCACCATGTGGCGTTTGGATTCGCTGGGGACGATGGAGAAATGGACTGTAGGAGGGTTGCAGTCACTAAGAGGAAGTTGGAAGATAGGTCGACGAGGAATTCAGGGCAAAATTTAGAGGGTGTGCACGTGTTGTAGGCGAGGCGATGAAAGCTTTGACCTGATGTAAAGGGTATAGCCACTTCAGTCCATCTGTGCATCTAGTCGGGGTTAAAGGGTGACTGCAAAGAAAAAAAAGTGTATTTTTGAATAGCCTAAAGCATGTCACAAAACAATTTTTCCACCCAAAACAAAAAAATTTTTACAGCAATATTTATGGCGTGGGACTGATTTTAGTTTGCAGTTATTTCGTCTGTTTTAAATCGCACACCACAAAGTTGGTACTGTACGTCACGGATTGGCTGCTATACGTCACGGAGTGACATATAACAGCCACTCCATGTGCATAGAAAAAGCGGGAGTTTCAAATCTAGAGAGGTTGTGACTCCGACTAAATTACGTCCTGTGGCTTAAATATTGCTAAAAAAAATTGTTTTTTTTGCGGAAGATTTGTTTTGTGACATGCCTGTCCAAATTAGGCTGTTTAAAAAGACACTTCTATTTCTTTGCAGTTACCCTTTAAAGGGACTCTGAACCGAAATTTCGAGGTCACTAAACAAGGCCGGGCGCATAGGCGGGAAGCTGCAAAACCAAAAAATATCACTCGTACAGCGATATATCTAACGGATCGCCGTATTTTTTGGAAAAGAAGTGCGAAATTGAACCCGGCCGACGATGCCCATGAGACAAGGCACGTCGCAATTCCCATTCTCTCTCCTCCTCGCTACGTCCCGTCAAGCTGGTGAATCGAAGCGAGGAAGAGAGAAGCAAGGCCGCTTCTCCTCATTCTCAAATTCTCCCGTAGGACAGTTATGTCGATGAATTCGCTTGATCGCGCCCTTCGTTTCCAAAAGTACAGCCATCCGTTTGAGATATCGATGTACGAGTGATGTTTAGAGTTTGTAGCGTCCCGTTCAACACTTCTACAGCCTTACTTTGCGAAATCCATATTTCGGTTCAGTATCCCTTTAAGGTGCTTTTAAAAGGAGCTAGGGGAAAAAGCGGTGCCGGAATAAAATGCATACTCCAATAAAATACGGTAAAAACAAGGCTGGATGCTCCGCTTCCTCCACCCAGCATGCTTGGCCACACCACATTCCGACTGCATAAGCCATCTGCCAGTAGTATTGGGCCCAATGCTTAACATAGTGTAAAGTTCACTGCAGACAAGTTAAGCCACAACATTATGACTAAAGAGATTTGTGTTTATTGTTACAAGATATAAATAGCATGGAAAGGAGTTAGACAAACATGTGTAGACAGATATCACTTTTCAGATAGCTTACCAGCAGACAACACTCTCACTGTTTACATTCCTTCAACCTTGCATTTGCGATGAGTAAGCAGTAGCAAAGCGCACTACAGGCGTAATATTTGACAACCACTTGAATCGTGTGTTCTTATACATATTTTTAATCGTTACCAAATAGTGCCCTGTGCAGAGTATATGTTTATGCCTACCGTAGATTATCTTGTCCCCGAGACTTGTGCGAAGGAAACATCTTTCCCTCTTGTATTGTTAAATGTAACCCTTTCCAGCCCTGTTAGTTCAGGAGTCTGGCTTCAATAGAAGCCAGTTCCTTTTTTATGCTTAGCCACCACAAACCACTTGGGTTATCTTTGTTGACGACGCATATACACTCACCGTCTGTCGTAGTCCTGTTCTCTGATGTGCGTTCTGTTTCCTGCAGGTGTTTTTTGACCTGATGCGGGAAATACGCAACCGCAAGAAGACGGACAAGACGGTCAGCAACGGGCCGCGCAAGAAGCCGCGCCCCATCAAGAAGAAGTGTGTCATCCTCTAACCGAATACCCGCAAAACAAAACCCCTTACTTTGTTCACCTTTCCGCCCCCCCGTGACCTTCGAGCGTGTGCCGCCATTTTACCGTTGTCGTCGTCTTTCGTTGTAATTTCGAGCTTCAGTCGTTTGTTGTGACGGCACGCGCGCCTCTTTCGGAACGCGCATTGTCGTTCCATTCCCAGCTGTTTCATCTCAAACACCGGGCAGCGGGCTGACCGCAGCCTCGGAGCCCCCTCTTCCGTTTATACCTTTCCCCTTATGCCAGTGAAAACGGAGGAGCTTCTTTTTCTCCAAAACAAGCCAAGTTTGTTTCATGTTTTTCTTCTTCTCGTTGCGTACGTTATATTCGTCCTGTTACTTTTTAAAGGCTGAAATGATTCCAGTGTTTACACGAGCTTGTAGTGCCCCTTCCCGGCGAGCTTAACGGCACGCTTCCGTTCGGCTCGAATCGAAAAGCGCCTACGACGGATGTGGTTGCCGAGGCGGGTGGACTCGTTCCCTGCGCCGCGGCCTTTTCCGGACGCACTTCCGTCGTCTTAGGAAAGGAGTTGTGCCTTCGTGCCTTCGGCATTTGTATTTATTTGTACCTCTGGAAAGAACAAACGGGCAAAAAGAGAATGAACAGTCGAGGCACATTCTGAACTTCGTTTTTGTAAGTTGGCAACCAAACGTTGCTCCTACAAGCTCACCAATACGTCGAGACGCCAAAGGTGGTGCCGTTCGGAATCGAAACGGAGAACACTGAGCGGTGGCAAACCGGTGCATGACGTGCTACTTGGTTAATGGCTTCCGAGACGAGCTGGTGGCTCTCTAAAACCGAGCGCTGCCACTTGTTCGGAAAGATGCTGCTTGTCTCAACAAAAGGGCGTGGTCGCCGGGTGGCACGACATGTAATCGTCTGCTGCTCGTATGTTTTCGCATTAGTTTCGGACGACTGCGCCCCAAGTGGGATTTTAAGGCTGTCCGAGAAAGGGTAGTAGTTTAATGTAAGTAGATTCTAAAGTGTGCACAGTAAATTGAGGAATGGCATTTGCAAGGAAAATTGTGCGAAGGAAGGCTTCGTGCTGTGGTGCAATAAGGACGTTTCTGCCCTGTTGCCCGCAGCACCCATTTGGGCTCGTTCTATCGTATCATAGTGGGGAATGCTGGTGTGTTATTACTTGTGTGGCTGTTTAGGCTCAACTCCCGCTCTGATCGGGCAAATCAAGTTTCCCGCTTAGCAGACCTTTAGGCATACCAGTCTTGGTTTCCTTGCTGCAGCATTGAACGAGCCCCTAAAAATGCGGAAATGCTCCTCGCAATTGGTGGCTGGCTTCTCTTGCTACGAAACCAGCCATGGCCATCTAATCTTTTTGAGCAGCTTGGACACGCGAGCTATCGTCGAGTTCCACACGTCTTTTGCACCCACGAGCTTGTCCACGCTCGTTCGGCCGTTCATTTCGGGGAGAAACTGGCGTGGAGAGTTTGTGGTGTTCTGCTGGCCCCAGAAGCCAGGGAGTGTTTCTCGTGTGCCAAAAAGATGTGTTCTTTTGGAGGGTTCTTTTGCAATTGGATGTTTATAGAAACAATGCTTTGGAATTGGTATAATAAGCTTGTTTGAGCTCAAGGCAGGCAATTTGGCAGGCTCTCAAGTTGAGCACATTGAGGAATAAATTGTCACTGCAAGAGTGCACCTTGATGCAAAGGCTCTTCTTTGTATTGTGCTTCTCCGATTTGCCAAGTTGTCCTAAAAAATGGTAAGTCGCCATACGTTACATTCAAGTTGTCTCGGGAGGAATTTTAAGGTCATGTGACCGGCTCCGTGGGGACAAGTAACTAAATGTACCGAGCATTCCAAGCAAATGGCTGCTGCAAGTCCGTCCTCTCTGATTATTCAAGTTCAATTTCACGCGCAGAAAGGTTGAACAGGCTTGAAATGCAAGTTAAATTAGTCACATTTGTGTTCTTCAGGAGCGGCATATAAAGTTATTTCTGTGAAAGGTTGTGTTATGAAAATGTTGGGCAAGGCTTGTGTCTGCCGAGTGGAATCTACTGGAATGCTAGGTACTTCCTCTCCATGGAGCTGGTCGCATGATCTCAAAGTCCCTCTTGTGGCTAGTTTCTCCGTCTGGAGAGATGCAGACCTTCACCAGCAAAATGGTCTTCGGGAATGGCTCGATTTGACCGGTCTTCCGACTGCAGTGGGCGGTGTCCACGAGACAATCTACATATTGGTATAGTGGGGCTGTAAATGTGTATTGGACATTGATGTGCTTTTTGTATGTCATTTGATCTGCCTAGCATTCACCTGCTTTACTTGCAAGGTGTCGCAACAGACGAGAAGAAGGAACTGAAACCATTTTGTGCCTCGGAGATGTTGGCTTTACTGCATCGAAAACGGGTGCAATGGACTCCGAGCGAATGCATCACAACACGGTGTCGTTATCCCTACGAGCCGTTGCCAAGGCTGTCGTTATCGACAAGTGCATGGGGGCTCGACGCGAGGTTAAAATTTGTCTTGTGAAAAAGTTTATTTTTTTTAAAGCAACTCGAAATATTTAATGACAGACTTTTATTGCTTTAATGCCATATGCATATCACAATGGTAAGAACTTGTGAAGATTACAGCCTGTTCTGCTTTCGTAGCAGACGTCGCGATGGATTCGGGGGTCCCATGGCCCTCTCTGATGGAGCCCGTGACTGAATGAGTGGGAAAGCGGCTGTCCTAAGGGGGAGGGGGGGCGGGCAACTTTCTGTGGCAGAAGAGAGGAGAAAGTGCGACAAGATTGGAGGAATTCGAAAGGTTAAGTGTGACGAGAAGTTGCTCAAGCGCTTGTAAACTTTAGTTTTATACAGTGTGCAGTTCCAGTATTTTCCTGCAAATTAAACTAGAAAAGAAGGTGCAGTCCTTAGAGGTGATGTATTACTGCTTGAATCGCTGATATCCGCGTTTAATCCCCACCGTCCCCAAGCGGCCCCAATGCATGGGCTCCAACTAAAATGGGCCGTAAACGGCGCTTGCAGTAGCAATCAAAACTTTTGGTTAAAGGTATATTTCACAGGTCAATTTTATCATGGAAAATTATAAAGTGTAGCTCCCTTTCTTAAAAGAAAAAAAATGGGGCCGAGAAACTGGCCAGGGTCAACGGGAAACGGCGACGCAGACCACCGAGTCGAGTGGCGGGCCGAGTTTGGCGCAACCGTATCGTAATGGTGCTCCCAGGGCGGCCTTGTTGGATCCAAGGCCGCACTGCGGGAAGCTACCGTCGCTTGTGCAGGAGATCGGAGGCGCGGATGTGGCGTAGCAGAGAACATATGCCGACGTTCAATCATGTCGCCTGTTTCTCTCTATGCCCTCGGTGGAACATGGTAGCCGACGAAAACGTCGCCCCCACTGGGGTCGCCCCCTCGCAAGCCGCAGCTTCTCGTTGTTGCTGGTCCGACTTCGAGGTGTCCGGACCGGATGCGCCGGTCGCGTAGTACTCCACGAGCGCAGCAGACGCGAGCAAGGCGATCGTTCTCAGTGTCGTCTGCTTTCCGGTTTGGAATCGTGTTTTAAAACATTGCTCGCGTTATAAAACGACGCGATTATACTGTACCCAGTGGATACACAACGTTCAATGGTCAAAAAACTTTGTAGTTCGTTAGATTTTAGAGTAGGGCGTGTATTTCGAAGCAGTTCGTTAGATTTTAGCGTAGGGCGTGTATTTCGCAAACGCAAAGCGAGAAACACGATTCGTCTGAAACTCTGCGCGTGCAAGGTCGCTTTCCCTCTAAAGGTCGGATCCAGCAAGGAAAAGAAACGCAATACCAGCGATACTCTAGGTACCAGCAGAGCCTCTGTGTGCCGGTAAAGGCCCGGTGCCGTCGACGTCGTGAACAAGCGACATGCGTTCGATCAGAGCCTCTGGTTCGATATTTTGCTCGGATACCGAAACAAGCCAACGAAGCGACCAAGCCATATGACCGAGCCAGACCAAGCCACCAAGCCAGTCATGTAGCCGAACAAATGCTTTCTTCGCGTCACAACTAGGGGTGTCGCGAACCGGCCGCGGTCGAGTTCGACCAGGTTCGACTTTTTCGAACTTTTAGTGGAAAGTTCGACGAACCTTGTATTGAGGTTCGACTCGTGTGCGCATGCGCGACAGGCTGGCCAGTTGGCTTCGGATTGGATGGTAATGGCTAAAAGATGAATTAAGTGCAGCGCTGATTGTCTATTTTAGTCAATACAGTACTAAACATTAAGTTATTAACTTATTTAGTGATTAGAATTAGTTTCTTTTAATTGCAGCTGTTCAAAAAATAAAATAACCCCTTGCATAAAAAAAAAATCTCCAAACTTAGACATGCTTGTATTAAGGTCTGGCCACACTGTCCATAAAGTAGACCTGTGCGCCGCCGCACCGCGCCGCCGCCGCCGCCTGTTTTGCTTTCGCCGCCCTGCGCCGCCGCCGGAATCCCCAGAGCCAGCACGCCGCCGCCGCCGCCGCACAATAAATTCAACGCGCCGCCGGCGCCGCCATCTTTTTCTTTTTTTTTTTTTTTTTGAGGGGGGGGGGGGGGGGGGGGTATTGGTGTTTTTTTTTCTGCTGTGTCTGTATGCTTTTTTCCCTTTCATTTTTACTCCTGTAAATATATCAATAAATGTAGAAGTTCCATAGAAAACGGAGACACGGAACGATAAAAAAAAAAACGGACAAAACAACAAGTCTCAAACACAGTTTGTAGTTTATTTGAACAACGAACGTTGTTACATATACCTCGAGACCCTCACCACCAAAAAAGAAACACCTCCTCTTCACTAGGTCACCGAGAGACGTACACTCAGACAGAACCCATATGATGCATGATTCAGACATATCTAAATAATTCACACCAACCAGCCACCCTGATGACCTCGCTTGAGGGCTGACCAGCCACATGCGATAACAGGCAACTCCAGCTCCACCACAACCCTTACAATTCTTAGAAAACCCATAAAACAAGACCTTATATAGACACAAAAAACGCTTCATATCACTGTCCAGTGCTAAGGACGGTGTGCTTACACAAGGGGCCAGATCAAGACACCCCCAGTAGTACAGACGATACAGTCGGACAGCTCGTTGAAGGGGTGGGGGCATGCTCGGAGGGGTGGACGATCGGGCATCACTGGACACCACTCCAATCCACTTGGCACATCAATGCCCTGGAGCTGATGGCAGCCTTCCTGGCCCTTCAGGCGCTGGCAAAGAATGTGTCTCGGGGCTCCATCCTCCTCGAGCTAGACAACACAGCAGCAGTAGCGGCCATCAACAGGAGGGGCAGCACCTGCTCTCCACAACTCACCAGGATAGCCCACAAGCTATGGTCGTGGTGTTGGGCGAGGGGAATATCAGTCAGGGCGCAACATATTCCGGGGCACATGAACACGGATGCAGACCAAGCATCCAGGAGAGTGATGGATGCCAGCAGTTGGAAGCTGTGCCCGTTCACATTCAGCAGGATCAACTGTCTGTGGGGCCCCGTGCACACGGACCTTTTTGCAGACTTCTCCAACCACCAGGTGAGGCACTACTACAGCTGGAAGCCGGATCCTCAGGCGGCAGCAGTGGATGCTCTCAGCCAGGACTGGACGGGTCAGGGCCTCTATGCCTTCCCACCGTTCAGCCTTGTGAGCAGATGCATTGCCAAGTTGCAGAGCTCCAACAGTCCGCTCATTCTAGTAGCTCCAGTTTGGCCATCTCAGCCATGGTATGCCTCGCTGCTGCACCACTCATACGAGGAACCGCGTCTTCTTCCCCAATCACACGACCTACTGCGCAGCCACGACGGGCAGGTACATCCAATGCTCAGCACGGGGAGCCTGACACTAGCAGCATGGAGACTGACCAACTCCAGCAAACTCATAGCCAACTTTCGGAGCAGGCTGCACACCTCATTGAGGCATCATGGAGGCGGGGAACACAGCTCACCTACACCTCTTGCTGGCGCAGGTGGGAACGCTGGTGCCATTCAAGGACTGTTGATCCCTTTTCTCCCACTCTAACACAGGTGCTCAACTTCCTCGCTAGCCTCTTTAAGGAGGGCCTGGCGTATCGCACTATAGGGTGTTACCGTTCTGCCTTGTCTCAGATCTTGCATAACTTTGACGGTTGCCCTCTAGGGGAACACCCATCAGTTGTGCGCCTTATGAAGGGAGTGTTTAATTCTAACCCCCCCAAACCCCGATACCCCACAACTTGGAGGGTTGAAACGGTGACAACCCTCCTGCAGTCGTGGGGTCCTAACAAGGATCTTAGCCTCAAGATGCTCACTAGCAAGCTAGCTATGCTATTAGCCCTTGCCTCAGCAGGCAGGACGTCAGACTTGTGCCTGCTTTCAACATGCCACATCCGTAAACAATCCGCGGGTTGGGAGCTTGGGCTCAGTGGCCTCAGAAAGACTTCTGGGGCATCTAAACCCCTTCCCACCCTCTTCTTCCCAGCATTCGAAGAGGTTCGGGAATTGTGTCCAGTGGAATGCTTGCAGGTGTACCTCGAACGAACTGCAGGACTCCGAGGCGCCCACACGCAGCTTCTGCTCACTACGCAGAAGCCTTTCCGCCCAGCAGCACGGGACACAGTAGCTCACTGGATAAAACACACACTAACGTTTGCGGGCATTGACACGTCGGTTTTCAAAGCGCACTCAACGCGAGGAGCGGCCACCTCCAAAGCT